GATCATGTCTCTCTCAGCCATCATTAGATAAGCTTCTTCTTGGAGTTGGTCAGAACTAATACAGACACTCAGAAATGGGCAATGAGAGACAGAGAGACAGAGAGAGATATTTTGGAACACTGACACCAAAAGGAGATGGCCCAACAAGGGTCAGGGAACTATGGGGAATGGGAGGCAGGAAGACTTTAAGAGCCAGAGAGGATGGAGAACAGCATTGCAACAGCGTCTTCCAGACATTACATGATTGACATGTGTATGAAATAATGAAGACCATGGCAGCATGCTCAGGACCTGCACAAGTCCAAGCCGGATGGGCTCCCAGTGCTAAGAGGGGAAGCTACACCAGAGTGCTCATCCCTAAACAAGATAATGTCTCCAGCTGATAGCCACTTAGAGAGGAAACGTTACTTTTTTGTAATAGAGTGTAACTGGGTATACAAACCACACTTCAGGGCAGGCTGAATGGACAGCAGTCCATTGCTAGCACAATACAAGTTCAGCAATATTTTGTAAATGTTTTGTCTTTTTAAAAAAAGAGAAACGAGAGAGGTCATGAGCTGCCTCAGCACGTGAAGGTGTTTGCTGCCCTATCTGGCAGCTTGAATTCAGTTCTCAGTACCCACACGATGGCAGGAGAACTGACCTCTGCAAGTTGTCTTCCCACCTCCACCTTACACACACACATGCACATGTGCACACGCGTGGGGGCGTGGCAGACAGAGAGTGAAAGAGGAGGGAGAGAAAGAGAAGTGTAAGAAATATTTTCATAGAAAGAGGATCTGAATAAAACTCTTCCCTCCTTCAAATAGAAAATGCAAATCACCACACAGTGACAAATTTTCTGTAAACTAAGAAGGCTATGATGGAAAACACAAGTGCTATCACAAATGTGAAGAAGTTGAAGCCAGCCCATGGGAGCAGAAATTAAAAACCAGCCAGCAACATAAGAAGCGTGTGTCAGTTTTGTTGAAGCTTAACATTCCACACAAGGATGGAAATGCATGTTCTCATAGAAACATGCACATGAATGTTTATAGAAAATTATTTGCATTAGTTTAAAAGAAGGAATAATCTAAATAGTCATTGGCTAATGAAAGGCTAAACAGTATGTGGTATGTCCATATAAAGGAATACCGTGTATTGAGGAGTGAAGTATAGATTCATCCTATAATATGAATTAGCATTATGCATGTGTGTGTGTGTGTATGTGTGTGTGTGTGTGTGTGTGTGTGTACGTGAACTTGTGGAGTTCATGTAGTGTCATTTATATGTGTGTCTGTGGGGCTCCCCACTTGGTATGAGGTAATCATAATAAGTTAGGAGGCTCATTCCTGAAGAGGACTAATTTCCCCTCTCATCAGTCACTGACTGTAGCTTTTCATCTAGGGGCAGGGTTCCATGAGATCTCCCCACCCACACTGGAATGCCCAGTGGTGTTGAAATTGCTCACATCTTGTTAATACATATTGCTGAGATTTCATTATGCCACATCCTTGTTATCTCTAGAACACATGATCTTCCAGCAGACCTCCTTGCTCTTCCATTTGTTTGCTTATTAGTTTTTTGTTTTGTTTTCTGAGACAGGGTCTCCCTACAGAGTCCTGGATGTCCTGGAACTCACTACATAGAGCAGGTTGGCCTTGAACTCAGAGATCTGCCTGCCTCTGCCTCCGGGTGCTGGTACTAAACCAGAAATGTACCACTGCATCTGGCCCATTTGTTTGTTTGTTTTGGAGACAAGGTCTCAGTGTGTAGCCTTGGAAGACCTAGAACTTGAAACGTAGACCAGGCTAACCTTATGCTGTGGCAGTCCTCCTGCCTTTGGCTACTGAATACTGGGACTCTGGATGGGCATCAGCATGCCTGCTGCAAAGTACTTTTTTATTCAAAGACAAAAGCTTGCTTTATGTTTTAAGATGAGATCTAATGCGTTGATAGCATGAGGAACCACGTGAATGGATAAACTACATCCAGCCGAATTCGTTACAGTTGAATGGACTTTTGGTATTCCTGCTACTACCCAAAAGCCTGGGATGTACAGTACCTCACACTACATAGCCAGAAATGACATGCCAACAGTTGCAAGCCCTGATAATTGAGGATTTGGGGCAATATTCCAAGGGATTAAAAAGGATCTTGGATCCTTTATAGATCTTATCATTATTAGTTCCTACACAGTATTTTCACATGCCTGAAGTTATTTTCTCAAAGCAATCACAAATAAAAAACCTATTGATTTTAATTTAAACATACTCTATTCTTCTATTACTCTAAATACCTTAATGATTTTTCTAATAAAATTGTAAATATAAAATTACCATTGTACTTATTAATTTCAAAAGTTTTCTTCTGAGGGCTGGAGTTGTATTCCACTTGGTATAGAACTTATCTAGCCTTTATGTCTGTGTTCAACCTTGAACGACACAACCTGGGCATGCCAACACAAGCTAGTATTCCACATCTGGAGAGTAGGTCATCCTTAGATCCTCAGTGACATAATGAGGTAAAGGCTAGCCTGAATACATGAGATCCTGTCTCAAAAGAGAGTTCTCCACCACACCTCTTCAAATCTGTACCATACTATCTTAAAAAGAAAATAAATGTATACATAATAAAATTATTTATATATGACAAATCTAATAAAAATTTTCACTACTATTTATATATGACAAGTCTAATAAAGATGTTACACTAAGTAATTTGAGAAAATTAAATTCATATTTAACTAAATTAAAATGATATCATTCTTCATTCTCATATCCCTTTTTCATCTAGCCAACTCAAAGTCTGTGCCATGACTATGGCACATCTATGAACCAGCTCTCCTTTGCTTGTGGACAATAACTGTTGAGTCGGAAGTTCTGTCCAGGACTTACTGGATCTTATCCAGTTCTCATTTATTGTGGCCCCTGCCTCAATGTAGGGCAATAATTATTTCTGACCAGTAGGATATGATCAGAAATGAAGCTCATAAATTCCAAGCCTGGACACTAAATAATGCAGCTGACTTTTGATGTGTCCTTTTTCTTTGCTCAAAAGAGCAAGTAGGTTTAGAGGACACACAAAGTCATTGGTGTTAGGCAGGTAACACAGAAAGCACCAAGTGAGTAAGACAGGAACTTCCATGCACTGAAGCCACCAGGAATTGCAGATCATGCATAAAAAGTTGAAAGAAGGCAACTCAGGAATTGACCTTAACCACATCAAATTCCGTGTCTTGAGTTTAAGTTAGCCAACAAAATTTTTAACAACAACAACAACAAAAATATGAAAGCTATAATGAAACTTGATGTCCAAACTCAATTGACTTATATCATGTCTCTGGAGATCTCAATTTTGGTTATATGTAAGGAGCAGGGAAAAACCTGGGGCTGAGTTTAATATTTACTTGGACCTGTCAGGTCAATACAAATCTGTTGGCCCAGTAGAGCATCATCAAAGAACACTAGAGTGGAACATGGTGCGCTGCATGGTATCAACCATCTCTATGTAGACGTAAGAAACAACAGCTGCAGCCCTTAAAGCAAGCACACAAAAAGTGATTCCAAGACAGAGTTTTCAAATACATGGTCAAGTAGAATTTAAATGATACTTTTGATACTCAAAAACTCATCAGTTTAAGTATATCAAACTTATTAAATCCCGATTAATCTAGAATCATTAAAATACAAAAAGCGGAAAATACACACTGACACCAACAAATTTATTACACACACTCACACACATATGCACACAGGAGGATTATGTATGGATCAAGTGCTTGCTTTGGTAGTACATTAGAGACTCCATCTTAAAGAATAACTAGTCTGCCTGCTGGCCAGATGAAAGTTGGGTCAGCACGGCAAGGCAAAAGCACTGCATTGGGTTTTCAGAAGAACTGGGTTGGCCTGGCTTAGCCACTTTGCAGGTATATGGGGGAAGATGTGACAAAGGCTGAAAGGACACTGGCTAGATGTCCGGCGGCTCAGGTTTCTTCGGAAATGAGCCCTATGTCTTTGGAAAACTAGTTTGCCTATGTACTTAATCCCAAAAAAGAAAAAAGGAAATTATTTCTCAGGTCGTTAGGAGGACTGGAAACATCACACAATTCAAGTATAGAGTGAGGCCTTGCCAAAAGAAAATTCTAGTAAATATTGGTTATTATTTCTAATGTTCTATGTCTCTCACCATAACTTTACTTAAATAATAAAAAGTGAAAGTATATAATTTGTATGATACCTTTACATTCTTATATTCTGAGTCTATAACTGTCCTTTCAAGTTAAATTACCAGTTGACAAATGAAAATTCTAAAGCCCATACATTTTCAGTAATGACTAAAAGGAAATCTGCAAAGTCAGTAATGCAGTTGAGAATGTTTTAAAGGCAACAGGTCACACAATGACGAGAGGTTTACACTAGCTAACATTCAAGTGTGAGGTGGTTTCAGGTATTCATCTCACTCATGATTTATACTCTCATTTTAACATAGACTCTAACAATATAATTGGAAGCAGCAGTGTAAATAAAAGAATGTTATCATTTTGGGAGTCCTGAAGCACTAAGGAATTATTCCACTTACAAAAACCTGAACATGTGCAGAAAGTGCATGGAAGCGGTCCTCTGGGCAATGCAAAATGGAGAATTATCTGGGTTTATAAGCTGACAGAAACATAGATGGTGGTCAGCTAGGGCAATGCTGAGACATGATTCCAATATTAATAGCATCATGTTCATTCCAAAACTAACAGCAAATGACTTACTTGGAAACATGATAATCTCCAAAACTTCATTTAAACAAATGATTCTCCATTCTAACAAAGATTCTACTAAGACTCAAAATGAAGTAAACCATTATGCTAACCCATCAAAACCCATTAAAATGATGTTCTAATTATGCTTTCAATTGATGTTAACTGATTAATACATGAGTTTTAGTACATAAACATGGTTAATGTAAAGCATATGGTGATAAGGACTTATATTTTTATTCCAGAAATCAATTTACACCAAAAAGCTTACCTCCTGCATACATGACAGCCAGCATGATGGATGATATCCATGCGACTTTACTGTGTCCAGCACGAAATATTTCCTGAATATCTCTGAAGAATACAGTGACAGATTTGGGGAAGGCATATGAAAATCCAATGGAGATAAAGGATGCCCCAACTACCACCCAACCCCAACCTCCATCAGGAGGAAGGGGATGTGGAGGTGGCACAGCAGTCGGTGCTGGCATTTCTGCACTTCTGCTGGAGACTAAGGTAACCTATGGAAAAAAATGACAACAGTTCATGTTATATTTTGGGGTTTGTGCATCACCCTTGATAGTTTTAAAAATGTCATTCTCATTGTAACTATAATATGATGTTTTATTAATATATTTGATGCTCTTATACTTGGCGGATTATTAGAAAATCAACATTAAAACTGTGAGTACACAGCCTTGATTATTAAGAAGTGAAATCTGAATGATTTCACCTCTTAATAACATAAGAAAACATAATTATGGGAAGAAAACATTTGGGCATGAAGGTAGGAATCTAGGTGTAATCTGAAACACCAAGAGGAAAGGTAAACCACTACACTTCAAAGGAAAATGCTTTCCTCTGTGCGTGTGCAGGGTGTGCATGTAGATGTGTATGTGTGTGTGTGTGTGTGTGTGTGTGTGTGTGTGTGTGTGTGCATGCAGGTGACTGCATGTGAATCGGGTTGATGTGGTATTTTCCTGAAGTGGTCTCCACATGATTTATCTAGAAAGGGTCTTCCACTGAATCAAGATCTTGCTGACATAACTCCTCTCAGGGGGCTAACTCAACAAAGATTCTCTTCGTTCTGCTTCCCTGGCACTGGGGCTATATGCACAGATTATTTATTTATTTAGTGTGGATTCTAAAGGACTGAACTCAGGTCCTCACAATTTTGTGGCAAGCACTTAAAACGGAGCCATCAGCAAATCACAAGAATATTACTCAGCTATTAAAAACAAGGAAATCATGAAATTTGCAAGCAAATGGATGAAACTAGAAAACATCATCCTGAGGTATCCCAGAAGCAGAGAGATACACATGGTACATATTCACTTATAAGTAGATAGGATAAACATACTAAAATCTATAGTCCTAAAGAAGCTAAACAGGAAGGATTACTGTAGGGAAGATGTTCAATCCTCATTACGAAGGGCAAACAGGACAGACACTGGAAGCAGGAAACGAAAGCGAACAGGACAAGAGCCTACCACAGAGGTAGGCTCTGAAAGTTCTGCAGATCAAGGTACCAAAGGAGATACTGAGACTCATAGCCAAGTTTTGGGCATCGGGCATGGAATTTTATGAAAGAAAGGGGAGATAGAAAGATTTGGAGGGGACAGGAGCTCAACAAGCAGACCAACAAAGCCAAAAAAAAGAGATGGGGGCTCAGAGGCCCTTGCAAGAACGATACCTCAAACAAGGACCATGCATGGAGAGGACCTAGAACTCCTGCACAGATGTAGCACATCTGAGTCTCAGTCTCCAAGTGGGTTCCCTAGTAATGGGAACAGGGACTGTCTCTGGCATGAACTCAGTGGCTGACTTTTTGGTCATCTCCCCTGGGGGGCATGCAGCTTTGCAAGGACACAGAGCAAGACAATTCACCCAGTCCTGGTGAGACCTGCTAGGCTAGGGTCAGAGGGAAGGGGAGGAGGACCTCCCCTATCAGTGAGCTAGGGGAGGGGCATAGGGGGAGTAGAGAAATGGAGGGTGGAATTGGGAGGATATAAGGAAAAGGGGCTACAGCTGGGATACAAAGTAAATAAATTGTAATAAGTAATAAATAAATGAAAACAAAAACTAAAATGAATAATATCTTAATATGAAAATGTTACCCTCCCAAAATTAGGGCTTCAAATAACTTCTACCAGCTATTTAGATAATGTGCTTGTTTGTTGAGTAGTGGAGAAAAGGCTCTTAATGTATACATACCTAAGAACACTTAAATTCTCTCCTGTTCAAAGAAATGATGCAGAGTTTAATATGTAAGAAACTATACAAAATGGGATCCTTGCCTCCACATCCTCTCAGAGTACAGATATTGTGTTGAAATGCAGAAGAAATAGTCACACTTCTGTGAAGAACATATGTGTGTATATACATATATTTATTTATATGCACACACACACACACACACACACACACACACATGTCAAATGTTTTCCAAAATCAGCTTCTAGTTTAGTTTATTTCCTTAAGTTATTTCTCACTTTTGTAAAAATGTTGATGATTTTAACACACACACATACATGTAAGTATATATTTCAGGTGCAAAGAATGATTTTTTAGTGTCTACATTCAATTTAGAATAACTCAACTGCCTTCAATTTAGTTCAACACTCATATCATTTAGTGTCCATTATCCTGTGTGTTTGTGTGGTGTGTTGATAATACCTAAAGTCTATTGCTGTACAGAGCTCAGAGCATACAGTCAGCACTGTGATAGAGCCAAGTGTGCAAAAACACTGTACTCACAGATGCACAGTTGCAGCTCTGTGTCTTTGACCAGCACCTCTTTCTGAATCCCTCCTTCTTTTTGATCTCCCACCTAAGAAAACCACACTCTATGCTTGATGTCTACGATTTCAGTTTTGTTTCCTTTTTTATTATTATCATTTATTACAACTTATTCACTTTGTATCCCAGCTGTAGCCCCCTCCCTCATTTCCTCCCAATCCCTTCCTCCTTTCCCCCCTCAGCTTCTCCCATGCCCTTCCCCTAGTTAACTGATAGGGGAGGTCCTCCTCCCCTTACATCTGACCCTAGCCTATCAGGTCTCATCAGCACTGGCTGCATTGTCCTCCTCTGTGGCCTGCTAAGGCTGCTACCACCTCAAGGGGAGGTGATCAAAGAGCTAGCCACTGAGTTCATGCAAGAGAAAGCCCCTGTTCCCCTTACTAGAGACCCCACTTAGAGACTGAGCAATGGGCTACATCAGAGCCAGGGTTTTAGGTCCTCTCCATGTATTTTCCTTGGTTGGGGTGTCAGTCCCTGCAGGACCTCAGGGCTCAGATTTTATAGCTCTTTTGGTCTTCTTTTGGAGCTCTTGCTAAAACAAGATCCTTCAGTATTTTTCTTTTGGGAGTCAGAGGTATATGTTTCAGTCTAATGTTTGGCCTAACATCCTCTGTGTACTCACGCACCTCCATAAAGATGACTGCACCCCACATGCTTTTGCAAGGTAAAATAATAGTACAGTATCGGTACTAATTATAATTAATTATAAGACGAGATTTTATTGTAAAGGACAAATTAATACTGTAAGGTTTCCTGGATACATGGTCTGTTTATCCAAATTGAATTTTAATGTTGTCATTGACTACATTGACATAATTGTGCATGATTTTTCAACGAAGCTTTCTTTACAAACAAGTTGGATAACTGCAGTTTAATGATGACTACAATAGACATTAAAGAATAAAACCCAGAAGAGAAAAGCACTCAGTCTAAAAGTTATTATTAAAAATCACACATATTTATTTTCATTATTGTTCTATATGAATATTTGCCTGATTAAATGGTAATGTAATTTTATGAATCCCAGAGATACACCTGCAATTTTATGAGTTATTTTATTATTTTTATTGGTTGTCTCATAAATCTTTTGTAGCTATACTAGTTTTAGAAAATATAGAAAATATATGAAGTATAAATCATAACTTAAAAAATCATAAAAACTCAATTTTTGACTGACACTATGGTTAATAGAAAATTTATTTTATATTGTATTCTTTTCTCTTTAAATGTGTGTTAAATAGATTGCTTGGTCATATGATGATAAATTTTTAAAGCAATCTGAAAATACAGTTTTAGAAGAATTTAGGAAATGAATGAAATACGTGACCTCCAATTCTATTTGAGGGAGTAGGTAGTGAGACATCAGTATAACAACATTTTTAATGGTATTGAAAAGTGAAATTCCTTTAGTCCCTTAATATTCCCCCAAAGGTAAAGCATAATAAGTAATTCCAAACTAAATAGAGAGAAAAGAGGGAGAGGAGGTGGGGGTTAGATCCAAAGAGAATATTGACATGAAGTTCAAATTGGAGTCAGCAAGACACCTTATGCAGTTAAAGGTACTCACAACCAATCCTGAGAGCCTAAGTTCAATGCCAGGAAACAACATGGTAGAAGTGGAGAAAATTCCTGAAAACTGCCCTCCACCCTCTACCCTCCACACGTGTACCACAGCAGACAGACACACACACACACACATACTTACACACAGATAGAGACAGACACACATACACACACACACACACACACACCTACACACAGAGACAGACAGACAGACACACACACACACCTACACAGAGACAGACAGACACACACACACACACACACACACATACACACAGAGAGACAGACACACACATACACACATAGAGTGACAGACAGACACATACACACACACAAATGAATTTTATATTTTTGTTTGTGAGCCTAGCCTGTGTCTTTGTGTTTATATCTGTTTCTTGTGCTTTATCTTTGGCTCCTCATTTTTTTTCTGTTGGCTTGCTTGTTTTGTCCTATTCAGAGTTTTCTGCTTTTATTTTTTGTTATTTTAGTATATATGTATATATATTCTCTTTTTTAAGATATATTTGTTTTCTAGTTAGAAAGTGCAAGAAGGGATGTGAATTTAAGGTGGGTAGGGAGTATATGGGAATCTGGGGGAAGGAAAACCATAATTAGAATATAATGTAAAAACTTATTTTCAATTTTAAAATAAAATAAATTAAAATTTAAAACATTTAAATTTACTCATCTTTTATGCTACTGACCGACCTAAATGTATAATATTCAAATTAATTTATAGTGTAATTTTTGGTATATAAAAGTGATGTAGATAAGGGGATATACCACAGTAAATTTTGAATCCTTGTTATTGCTAAGTAAGTCCTTATTATCTACAGTAAGCACTTATTAGTCAATTTAGTTTCCATAGAAATCCTTTGATACTCTTTTTTTATAAAAGACAAATTCCAGAAATACTACGAAACTTGGCCTGATCTAACTAATAACTGCTGGAGCTAAAGTAATCTACATGGAATCAGAAATAAGACTGCTTGATTATGTCCTCAGAGAGTAAAATAAGCCAAAGAAAAACCTATTGACATTTTTATTATATTCTGTGTCTAAATATCTGTATGGATTGAAACAGTCAAGACCAATTGCATTTCAAAACATTAATAGCCTGAAAATTTCTTCCCATAGAAATTGGATGGCTTGATCGTAAACATTCCCCAGTGTGGCAATGATGAAGGTCACTGGCCTTTGGTGGTGTTGGGAAATGGTTAGATCTTAACTTGTGGAACTAAGGGAAGGCAGGACCCTGGAGTGTGCTTTTCTGGAGAACTCTGGCACTGTAGCCATATCTTTCTTTATGGTTTCCACTGCCAGTATCTTTGGTACAAGGCATCTCATCCTCCATTGCCACATCATTCTCACTGGAAGCAACAAGGTTTAGAACCTCTGAAACATCAGATAAAAAGAAATCTTCCCTCCGTTCATGAAACAATTTGTCACAGTGGTAAAATTTGACTAGCACAGGGTTGCTTTGTTATACCAAAACTATTTTGTAACAGTTACCTCTGAAACATCCCTCCAGGAGAGAGGCAAGAGATGTATGAGACTCAAGAGGTTAGCAAACTTCACAAATCAGGGAAAGCTGACACCCTTATAGGGGGCCCTAGCCAAGGATACAGAGATGGGTAAACTGCCTGCCTGTGCAAGAGCAAGACACACTGACCAATGAGGCTAAGAGGAGATTCTGAGACCCGCCAGGAAGCTCCTGGGGTGGGCTTTCAGGGGACAAAACTTCTTAGTAATCAACTTTACACCAGTAACTCACCCACAAAATCCCACTGGATCAACAGCTTGGATTCTGGTGAGATTGTTAACTTTGGTCTGTAATGGGTCTCATTTCAGAAGTGGGTAGGAGTGTGTGTGTGTGTGTGTGTGTGTGTGTGTGTGTGTGTGTGTGTGTGTGT